CTTGATCAGTGGGACGGGCTTCGCACCGCCGCACATCACAAGACACGCTCGAGCGGATCCAGCCGTGGCGACGTCGGGGACTGCAGAAGGTCGCAAGGACACGGAATCTGAAAGGAAGAAGGAGAAAGAGAGAGAAAGAGAGGGAGAGAGAGAGACAGACAGACAGAGAGCGAAGGAGAGAGAGAGAGAGATGGAGAGAGAGAGAGAGAGAAGAAGACAGAGAGAGAGAGAGGCAGAGAGAGGAAATGGAGAGGAGGCGAGCTTGAGTCAACGACAGTCGCAGGGAAGGGGGCAGGGGGAAGAAGGCCAGAGAGCGCTGAAGGATACAAATACTGGAACCCTCTTGGGATTTTTTGGGGGGCCTCGTCCGGCCGCTCGCTGGGAGTTTGACGTAGCTTCTTGGGAGCCTCTGAACCTGTCGGGGGCCTCCTGGAAGCAGGTTCGAAGCTTTTGGGGGGCCGATTTGGGGCTTCTCGGGGCCTCCTTTGGGCCTCTTGGGGGTCTCCTGGGGCCTCTTGAGGGGCCTCCTGGGGGCCTCCTGGCGGCCTCTTGGGGCGGAAGGCTCGAGCTTGCGGTTCGTGGTCCCCCTATGGGCCCCCTCTTGGGCCCGTCTTGGGGCCCTCTTGGGCCATCTTGGGCGCCTCTTGGGCCGTCTTGGGGCCCTCTTGGGCTGTCCTGGGGCCCTCTGGGAAACTTCTTGGGCCGTCTTGGGGCTGTCTTGGGCGCCTCTTGGGCCGTCCTGTAACGTCGGAAAGCCCAAAAGACAACTTTGTTTAAAATGTACGTTTTACGAAGGGAATGGGCAAATTTTTGCGTCTAGTGGCCCTCTTGGGACGCATGTTGGAGGCTTCTTGGGGCCTCTTGGGGGCGTCCTTGGACGTGTGGAGGCCATCTTCAGCATCTCGGAGCCCTCTTGGAGGCCTCTTGGAAGTTTCTTGGGCCGTCTTGGGCGCTTCTGGGGCCGTCTTGTCTGACCGGGGAGGCCTCCGGCAAGCCCAGACGAGCCTCCGGGCCCCCCGGGGTGCACATTTGTGGTCGAGGTCCCGGCCCCGGGCCCCCGGACCCGGTGCGCCGTTATATGTATATAAGAGCGGACATGTGCTTCTCGGACGTTTGCGAGTAGGCACTTTGCGTATAGTGGAACGCGCTCGGTGAGGCACGGCGCTCGAGATTGCCGCGACTGGCCCCGAACACGCGCTCATTGACTGCGAATTCTGCGTGCCGACATCCTCCCCGGAACCTGCCCTGGCTCCCGCTCTGCGGGCTCATGGAAGGGGCGACGCGGCTCGGCTCCTGAGCAAGGACTCGGCGACCCGCTGCAGCACCTCGGGAGGAGTCCACGAATGCATTCTCGATCCTGCCGGTGCCTTCAACAAGCTGGCCTCCGCACAGATCGTCATCGTTCTCATCGTCCCCCTTCATCGTCCCCTTTCCCTCCTGCATTCTCTCTCATCCGTCCCCCGTCAGACCTCGTAGTCCTCGTCATGCGTCCGTCCTTCTCCTCCTTTGCCTCCTCCTCCTCCTCCTCCTCCTCCTCCTCCTCTCCCTCCTCCTCCTCCTCCTCCTCCTCCTCCTCCTCCTCCATTCCTTTTCCTTATAAATTTGCCGGCCCAACGGGCCAGCCAGAGGCGTGCTAAGATCTCCAGTAACTGGTTAACAATATTTCTAATTCGCGCGCGCGGAGCGGCCCCTGGGGGCCCCCGGACGAAAAGTACCCCGGCAAGGTCCCGGGAGAAGCCACCAGAGCACTCCAGGGGAGTGGCATTTTTCGACACCCCTCATGAGGATCGTGGCCTCCGAGGGGGGAGCTGCAATCGACTCCCCCCCCTCCCGCCCCAAGAGGCCCCCCAAAGCCCCCCAAGAGGCCCTGGGGGCCCCCAAGACGCCGCCAAGGAGCCCCAAGAGACTCCCAAGAGGTCCCCAAGAGGCCCCCAAGAGGCCCTAAAGAGGGCTCCAGGGCCGGCGGAATGAGCGAAGCGATTAATAAAATCTCCCTGTCGCACCCCGAGTCCAGTTTTCAAGGCGGGCTGGGCGTTTCGCCTGAGACGTCCTCGCCATTCATGACTCTGAAGCTTAATAAGTGGTAACAGTTTGACAAATGGAGGGCGGGTCGTTTTCAAAATGTGGCTCTCGCCTTAACGCGGCGCACAGTCGCCTTAAACATTCGCAAGAGCTTCACGGATCGAGGGCGGGTGGTTTTCAAAAGTGGCTCTCGCCTTAGCGCCGCGCACATTAGTTTAATGAATTTGCAAGAGTTTCGCGGATTGAGGGCGGGTCGTGTTCAACATGTGGCACTCGCCTTAGCACGGCTCACATTCTCTTTAAACATTTGCAAGAGCTTCACGGATTGAGGGCAGTTCCTTTTCAAAATGTGGCTCTCGCCTTAGCGCCTCGCACATTAGTTCAATGAGTTTGCAAGAGCTTCACGACCTGAGGGCGGCTCATTTTCAAAATGTAGCTCTCGCCTTAGCGCGGCTCACATTAGTTCAAACAGTTTGCAAGACTTTCACGTATTGAGGGCAGTTCCTTTTCAACATGTGGCTCTCGCCTTAGCGCGGCGCACAATTCATGTCAACGTTTGCAAAAAGTTTCACGGGTTTTCCATTATCAACGTGTCAGAAATGGTTTGGAAAGGATTCAGGATTAAGCGGGTGCAACAAGTATGTTGATTCGATATGGTGAAGACCCAGGAACGGGTTCGGAACGGCGTTCTTGCACGATTCAGGATTGTCAAGACGCAACAGTCAGGTTGATCCGTGGCGTTGGAATTCCGAGAGCAATGTTTTGGCATGCTTCAGGGTCATCAAACGGTTGTCTTCCAAAGAAGAAATTCCTTCAATGGAAATGAACCGTTGTACGGGGCCTATGAAGAGGCAGCTTGGAGGGAGGGTTTATTACAACATCGTTGATGACCTTTGGGTTTACACTGGTCCTCCTCCTCCTCCTCTTCGTTCGCCTCCGTCTCCCTTCCCTTCTCCATCCGTCCTCATCATCGCTCCTCCGTTCTCCTCCTGCTCCTCCTTCTCCTGCTCCTCCTCCTCGTCCTCCTCCTCCTCCTGCTCCTCCTCCTCGATTTCTGCGTCGATGTGCGGCTCCACAGGGGGCTTTCTTTCTGCCCATGCTTCCCCCTCGTGGCCCCCGCTGGGCCTTGGACCCCTTCCTATCCTTAGGCCCCCAGCCCTCAGGACCCCGTCTTTGAACCACCGACAGGTGGCGCTCTCCACCAAGACTCCCGCGGTGCGCCCGGGCCGTGGCGACGACGGCGCCCCCGGAGGCCCAGAGACACCGACCGAACCCCGCCCCTCGAACAGAGACATGCTCCGACATGACTTGTTCCACCCGCCGCCCCGGAGCTCCCGACCCCTCTCGGGTCGGGCGAAAGGGGGGGATAGCAAAGGGGGGGTTTGAGAATCAGCTCACGTAGCTGATTTTCCCGGCGCCTCCCGGCGCCGGAGGCGCCGGAGGCTGGACCCTGACCTTCCATAGAGCTATTTTTTAGCACTGGCAACCTAAAAACCTACAAAAGCGGGACGAAACCGCCTAAAACCAAGACGTAACATAGCTCTGGGACAGGCTTTTACGTCGGGTGCTATGTTCTAGCCCTCCTGGAAGGTCAGGGGAGGTAACCTCTTGCGCCCTGCAGGCACTGCTGAGGGCCCTGCAGGGGCCCGACCGCGGGCCGCAGAGGCCCCCAGGGGTCGAGGGGAACACGCCCCCAAACCGAACAGGATAACTCAAGGGGCCCTGGGACACACAAATAAATACACACAAATTAAAATACTCCCCATATGTTCCCATATTTTCTGGGTTTCTGTCTTCCCCCCCACATCCCATATTTTCCAATAATTTCTGGGGAATCGACGATTAATTGTGTCTGTGTGTTTTTTCCCCTCCTGAATAACGCACCCTCGGAGAACCGGCAGCTCCGACTCGGCGCCACGCACCCTGACCTTCCAGGAGGGCTAACAAAATAGCACCCGACGTACAAACCTATCCCAGAGCTGTCTTACGTCTTGGTTTTAGGCTGCTTCGTCTCGTCTTTTAGGTTTTTAGGTTTCCAGTGCTAAAAAATAGCTCTCTGGAAGGTCAGGGCAAGAGTGGCCCCCGCTCTCTGGGGGGGTGAGGTCCCCGGGGGCCCTTCGCGCTAAAACAGGGCCAGGATCGGGATACATCGCTCCAGAGCGTTCCGGAGCGCTCTCAGAGCGTTCCGGAGCGCTCTGGAGCGGCCGCGGCGCCCAATACATGCTCCAAACCCGCCGATTTTAGAGATTTCGAGTTATCCCGATCCGATTGTGTCCCGATCTTCGCGTCGTTTGAGGGCGGCCCCACGAGACGCGACGCACTGCGGCGTGGCCCGGACCACTCCGCGCAGAACGGCTGCCGGCCGCTCTGCCCAGCAGACGTCGACTACACGCAAGTGAAGGGGCCCTGGGACACACAAATAAATTCACACAAATAAACATAATCCCCATATTTTTCCCATATTTTCTGGGTTTCTGTCTCCCCCCCCCACCTCCCATATTGTCCTATATTTTCTGGGAAATCGAGGATTCATTGTGTCTGTGTGTTTCTTTCCCTCCTGATACACGCAGGAGCGACCCTGGGCGAGAGTGCCCTGTGGCGCGCGGCTCTCCGGGGGGGCCGCCGGGGGGGCCAAGCACAGGCGCGCAAGACACCACTGCCGCCTCGCGCTCGGCGATCGGGGGGCCCCCGTGGGCCCGCACCAGAGGTCACTCCGGCGAAGGGTCACCCTCACGCGTACAGGCAGAAACCCTAGTGAGGACGCGCGGCAAGGACGCAAGACCCTCGGAAGCCGACGTGGGGATTTTTGGGGCGGCGGACGACGAAAACCCCAAGGACGCAAGAGCAAGGAAGAGCAAGGACGCAAGGGTACCCTGAGCAGAGTCGCGCGCCCTTACTAGGGTTTTTGACTGCAGTCGACCGATACTACTCCTCGTCCCCGATCCGACCCTGGTGCGGCGGCTGCGGGGCCGGGGCACCGGCGAGGCGGCGCCAGAGACGGCGCCGGGCGCCAGGCCTGGCGCCGGGGGGGAGGGGAGAGCGCTCCCGGAGTCCGCAGCCGCCCAACGCTCCCCGTGTGCCCACTCCTGCGGAGCAAGGTAGGGGGGAACTGGCATGGGGGGTCTCCTCCCTCTCCTCTCCTCTCCCCTCCTCCTCCTCCTCCACCTCCTCCTCCTCCTTCTCCTGTTCCTTCTCCTCCTTCTCCTCGTCCTCCTCCTCCTCCTCCTCCTCCTCCTCCTTCTCCTCCTCCTGCTCCTCCTCCTCCTCCTCCTCCCCCCGCCTCCTCCTCCTCATCCTCCTCATTTTCTATCTTACCATCAGTGGTATTACTCAATCCTCGTCCTGCTCCACCTACTCCTCCTCCTCGCTTCTCCTCCTCCTGCTCCACCTCCTCCTCCTCTCCTCCTCCTCCTCCTCCTCCTCCTCCTCCTCTGCATCCGCCTCACTCCCCTTCCGACGACGCCGCCACCGCCGCCGCCTCCTCCTCCTCCTGCTGCTCCTCCTCATCCTCCTCATACTCCTCGTCCTACTCCTCCTCGTCCTCCTCCTCCTCCTTGCCCTCCTCCGAGCGAACTCCCCTGGAAAGACAGAGTCCCGCCGCGCGCGGGCGTCCTGTGTGCTGCGTCTAGTGCAGCATCTCGAGCTTGGGCCAGGCTTTCAAGCCTGGAGGTAAACGACCTTGCGCCAACCTTTGAATTGCTTTCCTCCCCCCTTCTGTGGGAGGCTCACAGACTGATTTTAATTTACTACGGGCCCGAATAGACCATCCCCCGCAACGGCTACACCAGCAGATACCGTTGGTGACTTGTAAATGGGGTTGATGGGACGGGTGCACCGCTAAATCCGAATTTTGACATTACCTTGCTTCTTACACCTGAGGCAAGCTAGATTATACTCGGGGGCGACAGGGGCAGCTAAAAGACAGTGAGAAGTATTTAGAAGGGCATCCTGAAGGGCCTGTACACTTCTAAGGGCTCTCACTCTCCTACGCTCCTCCTTCGACTCCTCGTCCTCCTGGGGGAACTGATCCTTGGATTCCCAGTAGTGGGTCTGGATTGCCGAGAGACGGTCGCAAATCATGTTGGCGTGGATGTCTGCCCCCTGGATCTGGCGTGCCCGCGCGGGGGGTACGCTCCGTCGACGGGCAGCGCACCTGGCAATATCATCCACTTGCTCATTCACATAGAGCGTCCAGGGCGGCTCCTTGGCCGCCTCCTCCTCCGTCGGGTGACTTTTGACCTTCTGGAAAAATAGCTGAGCGGCACGGGCTGAGGCATACGTCCAGAACCTCTTCCAAGCCAGAGGGTTACGAGAATGCCGGGCCCTGGGTCCTTTCAAGAAGCCTTTGATGACGTAGAGGCAGTCGGTGACGATGACTAGGGGTCCTTCTGTAGCTTGGAGAAGGTTGCTAACTGCGGCTAGTTCAGCAAGAGGGACTGACTGCTGACCTCGGATCCCTCCTGAGAGTGAGCCGACGAACTGCATCGAGGAAGACCAGAGGGCGGCTCCCCAGCCGCAGACTCGGAGGCGTGCATCCATGGTGTGCTCCCCTCCGCTCCCGTCGGTGGCCCCGATGAGGATGTTTGTGTGGCTGAACTGGCGTGTTGCTGGGAAACCTAGTTTGAGGAGGTCGCCGTCAAGGGACATGAAGTGCTCCTTGCCCTCCTCCTCCTCCTCCTTCTCCTCCTCCTCCTCCGCCACCTTCTCCTCCTTCTCCGCCTCCTCTTATTCCTCCTCCTCCTCCTGCCCCTCCTCCTCCTCCTCCTCCTCCTCCTCCTCCTCCTCCTCTGCCTCCGCCTCCTGCCCCTCCGACGCCGCCGCCACCGCCTCCTCCTCCTCTTCCTCGTCGTCCTCGTCCTCGTCCTCTTCCTCCTCCTCCTCCTCCTTCTCCTCCTCCTCCTCCTTCTCCTCCTCCTCCTCCTTCTTCTCCTCCCCTTCGTCCGTTTCCTCTTTCTCCTCCTCCTGTTCCTCCTCCTCCTCCTCCTCGTCCTCCTCCTCCTCCTCCTCCTCCTCCTCCTCCTCCTCCTCCTCCTCCTCCTGGTCACTCCTCGGTGACGACAGCGGCGCGGCAGCGCGGCGCCTTCGTGCGTCCGCGCGTCCCCCCGCCTGGCCCCCCGGCGGGGCTGCCCACGCGGGCGGCCAGAGCGCGCCTGGCTGGGCTTCTCGGGAAAGGGGGGGAGCGGGCCGTCAATCGACTCGCCAGGCACCGTCTTCCTCCCTCCCACGGTCTGGCGCACGTTAACCTGGATTAAGGATTCGTGAATCTGAGGCGCGTGGTCGCCAGACCCATGGATCTGGGAAGGTAAAACCGAAACATGGCGCCACTGCCGCCCGATTTGGTGGCGGAACGCGCCAATTCGAGATGGAAACGGAACTCGTCGCTAATCCGAGTGCCGTAATCTCCCCTACACCACCCTCCTGCTGCTGCTGCTGCTGCTGATGCTGTTGCTGCTCATCCCCATTCGTTTCTCGTCCTCCTCCCTCCTGTGTCCTCCCCCCTCTCGTTCCCTGCTCCTTCCTCCCACCGTCTTCTTCACTTCTCACATAATCCGTAAGTCGAGCGTGTCCCCCTGCAGGGGGATGTTGGACGAATAATAAAAAATACCCCAAAAATACTCCAACATGGTCAGGAAATACGCAAAGCATAGTCCCCAGGCTAGTTGTTGCCTATGTTTGAAGATTCCCCCTGCAGAGGGACAGGCCCGACTTAACACTATCCGTCTCCTCCCTTCGTGTTTCTGCGCGCAGCCCCTCCGTCCGCTCCTTCCTCCCACCTCCCCTCCCTCCCTCCCATCCCTCCCTGCCTCCTCCTCGTGCCTGGCAATCCCTGCTCCTCCTTTTTTCCTCCTCATGTCTGGTCGTCCTCCTCCTCCCACCTCCCCTCCCTCCCTCCCCTCCCTCCCTGCCTCCTCCTCGTGCCTGGTCGTCCCCGCTCCTCCATGTTCCTCCTCCACTCGCTTCCCCCAAAACATACATCATCCGCGTCGCACACCCAGGTGCGTCCGTGGGGCGGGCCGAGCGTTTCTCCTGAGACTTCCCCGCTGTCTACGATACTGGAACTTGGAGTGTGCAGCAAGCTCACGGGTGGAGTGCGGGTCCTTTTGTACATGTGGCTCTCGCCTTAGCGCTGCACGCGTTCGTCTTAAAAGTTTGCACCAGATTCAAAGACGGAGGGCGAGTGCTTTTCAAAATGAGGTTCTCGCCCTAGATTTGTGTACATGTGTTTGCTTCGAGGGTGTGCAGCAACTTCACAGATGGAGGGCGGCTGATTTTCAAAACGTGGTTTTTGCCCTTGCCAGTCGCACCTTCGTCTTTTAAGAGTCCGCAGCAAGCTCAGAAATGGAGGGCGGGTGGTGATCAAAATGGCGTTTTCACCTGAGCGCCGAACACATCCGTCTTAAAAGCCTGCAACGATTTCATGGATGAGGGGATATTAGTTATTTTCAAGATGTGGTTATCGTCTTTGCGCCGCGCACATTCGTCTTCAAAGTGTGCAAGACTCTCAAGGATTCGTATGGTCGACGTTCCAGGAATATTCTGGCACGATTTAGGGTTGTCAGGACGCTGCAGCCACCTTGATTCGCGGTGGCGAATAGCAGTTCTGGTATGACTCAGGACTGCCAGGACCCAACAGTCACGTTGATCCGCGGCGTTGAAGTCTCAAGGACAGTATTCTGGCACGACTGAAGATTATCCGACGGCGTTCTTCGAATGGGCCATTCCGCACTGAACATACATTTCTGTTGGGGCCTATGAGAAGGAAACTTGGAAGCAGGGTGGAGTGCAACATCGTGGATGCGTGTTGGGTTTACGCTAGTCCTCCTCATCCTCCTCGGCCACGGTGTCTTGGTTCATGCTGGGCTTTGTCCGACCTGATTGGCCACATTGCCGGTGTGTTTCACGCTCGGGCTCATTCGCCCGCATGTCTGCCCTTCGTCCGTGCCTGCTGCAGTGCGATTGTTTTAACGCCTTCTCTTCTCGGACCTGCCTCGTCGGAGGCGGGCTAACTTACACTCTATAGCCCATGTTCCTCCTCTTGCTTTTCCTCCTCCTCCCCCTGCTCCTCCTCCCCCTCCTCCGCCTGCTCCTCGTCCTCCTCCTCCTCATCCTCCTTGTCCTTGTCGCCTTCCTTCTCCACCCCCCCCCGTTGCCATTTGGGCCGAAGTGCGAACCACGCGCCCGGGAGGATCGTGCTTGGTCGCAGCCAAGGGGCAGGCTCAGATCCCACATCTTCGGCCTCAGTGGCCAATCCTTCGTCCTGTTAGAGCTGCCAAGCCGACACAGTTCCTTCACAAATTCTTCTCAATGAAGCCAGTTCGCTTCGTGTGCGCCATGGTGGGCGGAGGCCAGCAGCACTCAGCCTTCGTACGCCCCACCTGCACATGCAAAAAGAACAAGCCGTGGTTCCAGCGGCGCAGAGCGTGCCACTCACCGCTGCCCCAGCTTCATTCCAAAGGCCGCCCTCGCGCTGGTGAGGTTTGGGCTGATGACGACAGCGGCAGCAAGCTCCGTCGCCACGGTGGAGGTGCAGGGTTTGGTTGGGGTGTCCCGCCCCCGCTTGTGCAAGGCAACGCCCACGAGTACTTGAACAGCTTCGAGCTCGCTCGCGGGATCTCTCTTCCAACCTGGCGCCTCCTGCTGCACGGGCGCCTGCCGTTACTCTCAACGTCGGCAAGATCAGCGACATCTTCGCGTCCATGGGCACCTTCCTCAAGGAGGCGGTCAAGGCGGCGGAACAATCCAACCTCGAGCTGCTCAAGGGCACGATGCCATGAAGTCAACGCTTCGCAAGGGCCAGGAGGCAGTTCGTGTGTCGGAGGAGACTGCAAATCAGGCACCCCAGTCTCAGGGCAGTCACCCTGCCGCACCGCTTGGCGCAGCGGGCCCAGGCAATGTTAGCACCATCGACTCAGGCGAAGACCTCTTCAAGCTTCTCGGTGGCAGTGCGTCGTCCCCCGACGACAGGCGCAAGATGCTCGAGATCCCGGGGGGGCGTCCGAACGGTTTCGACCCTAGTCAATATGATATACCACGTCGCGAGGGTCTTACCTGGAAATGCTTCGCATCAGCATTATGAGGACACCAGGTGACGCTGTTCCAATCAGCCCAGCGCTGTCCACCCTCATTCTCGCAGGTTCCCGGCGATGGGTTCGGTTTCATTATGGAGACGATGAATGGGTCGGGGCGGGGCACAGCACGTAAGTGGTTGACTCAAACCAACGATTATATAATTTGTACCCAAGAGCACAATCTTCTCAGTATTGGTGAGTTTAACCAGGCCACTCTGGGGGGATCAAGCACGGGTGGAAGATACTACAGTAGGGCCTCGACCAACAGGAACCTTCCACAAGAGACCCAACCCTGAGACCCCAGGGCGCCCAGTGATATCTGTTGCGCGGGAACGTCGCGCTTTCCATCGCAAACCCACCAAATCGGGGAAACCCGGGGCACCCTGAAGGCAAGCAAGGTGTTTCTTGGCATGTGTTTCCACTGTATGGGAGCCTGCGCGTTCTGGGGAAAATGGCGGAGCCTCGGCGGAAGTCGCCGCGGCCGTGCGGGCAGCATTCGGGTCCCATCACTTTCCTGAACCTGTCCTGGGTATGTCCCCATTGGTGCGTGGCTGGCCAGGCGCAGCGGCTCGGCCAGCCGCCGTTCATGGCCGCCTGCACTTACACGTGCGATTGCCAGCAAATGAGCGAGTCTAAAATTCCTATGATCGCCGATGCGGCGCCCTTCCTGGATCACTCGGGCACGCAGCTCGCCTTTGGCGGGGACTCCAACGTGGCCCTAGAGGTTTTTCAAGAGCACGGGATATCCAGAGCTTCTCAAAGGCAATCTGGCATCTGATCCTCCGGATCGCGGGTCCCGCAGCGGTCTGATGGGCACCAGGCGCCACGAAAACTTCTCGGCCCTAGGCGGTTCCAGCAAGAGCGTCAAGGATGTTGGCATCAAGGAGAAGGACGCCGCCCGCCCGCGCCTGCCCGTCAGCCTGGAGTTTCGCAGGTCTCTGAACACGCTGCGCGCGCGAGGCTTCGCATGCCCGCGAAAACCCCAAGCGACCCAGCCACGGGCCCTCCCGCTAGACGCCCAGCCTGGACCCACGCCCTGGATCATGTGGACCATACTTCGGCACAGGTGGAGTCCGGGCGTTTGGGCGCAGCGTTCTCGGGACTGGATTCGGCCTGCGAATTGCGGGCCACTCTCCGCGAGGTCGAGCTGCGCAACTCGAATCGAGATCCTCTCCCAGCGCACGGCTCGCGGCATCGCCTCGCCAGATGCGGGCGGCGCGACCCCCTCGCCGCGATTCCGAGCCCACCCCGCCGTCGGCGCAGCAGGCCGTCAACCCTTTTCGTCGCGCAGCCGCAAATTTTGATCGGCCATCTTGCTGATGGCGATCCTGATGGGCACCCGGCCGCGCGGTCTCTCGTCGGCCAGCTCCGACCCCCCTCAGAGTGCCTTAGAACATCTGGGGCAGCAGGGCATAGTGCATGATTGCGCCGCATTGCATCCGGCCCGTCAGGATCCGACGCCCGCGGATGATTGGAGGCTTTCCAAGGCGCAGCTTCTGGGAGATTTCGAGGGGACCTGGCCGGAGGCCGTCGCTTTTACCAGCGAGGAATCAAGGGTTTCTTGGAGGCAGTGAATCCTCGGAGACACCAGAGAGAGGAGGCACGAGGGCCCACATGTACACCACGGGCCCCCAAGCGCGGCGACCGTCTACCACTCTTGGCCCCAAGCGGGCTTTGGCCTCGGATCCGCCGAGCCTCTGGACCGAAGCCCAGAAGATTGCGGTGCTCTGGGGCACCGCGCGCCTCGAAGCAAGGTCCCCCGACCGTTCCGCCCCCGAGGCCGGCGCGGAGCCCCTGCCGTTCCCAGGCCCGCCCGCGACGAGAGATCATGTTCGTGGCGATTCTCGGGCCGCGGCCGTCTCTCTGGACGGGGCCCACATGCGCCTTCGCTCAACTTGTAGAGGGCAAAAGATCCACCCTCATAATAACCACCCCGACACGCGAGGCCGATTACCAAACGCTCCCACTGACATGGCAGGGCTGATTGTTGTGTTTTTTTTTGTTGTTTTTTTTGGGGGGGGGCACATGGCTGCAAGCCGAAGCGTGCTGCCCCCTGCACCAGTTGCAGTTTCATGTCTCCA